TCTTGATTTACAGCATCCGCAGTTCTTTTGGTTTTTATTTAGTGTTCAGTGCAGTATGACAAGATTTTCATAAAGATGGTAAAGAGAATGAGAGTAAACTAGCTAGAAATAAAAACATTGTAAAAGTTTCTGTACACTCATAAAAAGATGAGATTCATGCCAGCCCACGTGGGGACCTCGCAGGCAGAGAGAGGAGAAATTATATGGGGAGAAATGGGAGAGACATTGAACAAATACTTAGGAACTGCCTGTAGGTAGAAGAGATGTGAATCATTTCGGAAATAGAAGGAAATTGTGGGTCTAGTGAGAATGAGGAACTCAATTAAATTCATGTTATTAACATAAATATACCAGAAAAAGTAAAGAAGCTTAAGTCAGTAAATTCCCGCATCCTAAGATTATTAGAGGTGGCTGCAGGGATATTGGAAGAGTAGGTTCTGGGCATCAGGCATTTCTGATATTTCACAACTGTCTGTGTTAATTGGAAAGTACCAAACATAACCCTGTTGTTCAAGGAAGGAGGGAGAGCGCAGTCAATAAATGTTCTGATGCAAAGTTATTGTAAATCTGTTTCTCTCCACGAAACTCTTTGCTGGTTGGAGTCATACCTGGCACAAAAGAAGATGGTCGTGGTTGTTGGCGGTTAGTCATCTCAGCTCCTGGACATGTCTGCAGGAGTTCAAAAGGGTAGTGTCCTAGGCCCAACCATCTTGAGCTGCTTCATCAATGGCCTCCCCTCCATCATAAGGTCAGAGGTGGTGATATTCACCAGTGATTGGTGCCAAACATTGCACTTTCTCAAACCCTCGGGTACTGAAACAGACCAAGTCTAAATGCAAGATCTGAACAATATTCAGGCTTGGGCTGACAAGTGGCAAATACATTTGCACCACAGAAATGCCAGGCACAGATCATCTCCAGGAGGAGACAATCTAATCATTGCCCCTTGACGTTCAATGGCTGTACCATCACTCAATCCCCCACTATCAACAGCCTGGGGGTTATTGTTGACCAGAAACTGAACTGGACTAGCCATGTAAATACTATGGCGATAAGAGCAGGTCAGAGGCTAGGAAATTCAGCGAGTAACCCATCTCCTGACTCTCAAAGACTGTGCACCATCTACAAGGCACAAGTTAGGAGTGTGATGGAATACTCCCCATTTGCCTGAATGGGCGCAGCTTCAATACTCAAGAAACTTGACATGATCCAGGAAAAATAGCTGACTTGATTGGCACTGCATCCGCAAACATCCGCTCCCTCTGCCATTGATGCTCAGTAGCAGCAATGTGTACTATCTACAATATGCACTGCATAAATTCACCAAAGATCCTTAGACAGCACCTTCCAAAACCCCCGATCACTTCCATCTGGAAGAATGAGGGCCACAGATCCATGGGAACACCACCACCTGCAAGTTCCCCTCCAAGCCACTCACCATCCTGACTTGGAAATATATCAACCTTCCTTCACTGCTGCTGGGTCAAAATTCTGCATTTCCCTCTTAACACTAGTGCGCGCCTCCATACAGCACAGGGACTACAACGGCTCAAGAAGGCAGCTCACCATTACCTTCTCAAGGGCAACCAGGGATGGGCAATAATTGCTGACCCAGCCAGTGACATCCACATATCGTGAGTGATTTTTTTTTAAAAAGTGCTGTCAGACATACTGGAAATACTCAGCATTTTCTGTTTCCATTTCATATTTTCAGCAGCTGCGGTATTTTATTTTCTATTTAGCTGGTGTGTAAATTGGGAGGAGGGGAAATGCTAGAATCCGTTACAAAGGACAAAAGTAACACATCAGGTTTTGCAGTATAATGTCAGGCGAGAGAATAAATTGAGGCTGCACTAGGATTATAGAAGGACAAAGTGAGATAGCAAGGAGATGGCAGGCTGTGGGCAACATGGACAAAGTGTTCAGGTTTTTTGAGGATAGATGAGAAGCAGAATATTTCATTTGGTGAGAGACTGTGAAATGTTGGTGTCCTGAGAAACCAGCATATCTTTTGCAAGTGTATCACAGACTTAGTATGCAAGAATTTTGAAATGTAGATGGAATGCCTGCCTTTGTTACAAGGGGAATGGAGTGTAAAAGTAAAGAAATCTTACTTTTATACAATTATACAGGACATTGGTGAGGCCAGACATGGAATATTGTGTGCAGGTTTGTTTTTATATCTGGATGTGAGGAGGGATACGCAAGTATTAGCAGGAAGGAATGAAGAATTACTGGGATGAGAGTGTTGTCTAAAGAAGAGAGATTGAAGGCCTTTTTTTTAGAAAAAAAGTCATAGGATGTAGAAGTTGCTGGCCAGGTCATTGATGCTCATCACTAATTTAAATTTGAGAAGATGGTGGTGAACTGCCACATTTTATGATGATACTGTCATTTTAAAAGTTGGTCCTGGGTTTTTTTTTTGAAGAGAAGTTGTAAAGGCAGAGGCACCGAACTGGCTATTGAAGTCAGCTGAGTAAACAACTTAAGAGGCTTGGGTTTTTTTAACAGTCTGAATGGGTGTGACCAGCTCTCACAGACCAGGCTGTCCAGTTTTTTTAAGGTAGAGCAGTCAGAAGCTGTTTAGGGTCTCAAAGAGTTAGAAGCTTCAGTAAATGATACCTAGCTGCTACTTAGTCTGAAATTTCTCTTGATGTTGTTTCCTCCTGGATTGGAGAACTGCATGTAAGAATGTGTGTCTGATTTTTGCCTTTTTGCCAAGGGGTGTGTTTGTGGGATGTTTCTAAATTGGAACAGTTAATTAGTAATAAATACTGTATCTGATATTCAGTTAAGTTTTCCAGCAGTTAAGTCGTTCTAAATTCCTCTTTCTTTTGTTTGTATTTTAGCTGTAGTATTTACATAAATTGTGTTTTGCTTACTGTTGAGTAGTTTGACCAGTCACATCACATCTAGAACAGGCACTTCATACCTACATTCAAAATAAGAAAAAGTTAGTATCTAGGCTATCTTCTTAAAATATTTTGAGGGGTTCTGGTCTGGTCCATAGCAATGTGATGTACATACACACGCACTGCTGTTGGGTGGGAGTTTTTCAGGATTTTGACCCAGTGACATTGAGGAATGATGATATAGTTCCAAGTGAGAATGGTGTGTGGCTCGGACACATGTTTCCATGTATCTGTTGTCCTTGTCCTTTGATATGGGCCAGGATTAGGGTTAGACCATGGGTTTGGAAGATATCATTGGAAGGTCCTTAGTGAGTTGCTCCAGTGTACCTTATAGATGCTGCTTCTGTGCATTGGGGTGCAGGGATGAATGTTTAAGGTAGGTACTAATCAAGCAGACTGTTTTGCCCTTAAGTGCTCCTGAGTTTCTTGAGTGTTATTGAAACTGCACTCATCCAGGCAGGTGAGGTGTGTTCCTTCACACTCCTGACTTTCTCTTGTTCTGTAGAATTTTGAAGAATTAGAGGTGACACCACTGAAACATGAAAAGTTCTTAAGGGGCTCAGCAGGGTTAATGCTGGGAGGATGTTTCCACTGGCTAGGGAGTCTCGAACACCAAGTGACACTGTCACAACAAGAAAAAGCCAGATAGGCTTCGGATAAAGAGGAGTGTGAATTTTCAGAATTCTCTGCTCTAGAGCCAATGGATATTCAGTCATTGAATCTGCTTAAGACTGGAATTGATAGATTTTCTAACAATGAAGAGATCTGGAGGTGATGTTGGGTAGAAGATTGGTCATTATCTTGAATGACTGAAGGATAAAATAGGTACTGCTCAAAGTTGGCTGTAGTGTCCCACAAGTGCGTCAGGTGAGCGCTTGGCTACCAGTTGAATCTTGGAGCATTCACGTCTGTATGCCTCTCATTCAACAGTTGTGTCACCTTGATTTATTCTTACATTTTGCTTCATGTTCCTTTGTTTAACGTCCTCTTTAGTTTTCATTGTTGATGTACACATGTTACAATTGTGTTTGAAATAATTGTGTCCAAGTCAGAAGGTTCTTTATTGAATCACAACTCAAGAGGTTTGAGGTTCAATACAAGCTGAGATTCCATCCAGTACTGAGGGACTGCTGTACTGTTGGAGGGACCATCTTTTGGATGATGTGTTTAACTGAGGACCATCCTCTCACATGACTGTAAAAGATCCCTTGGTGCTTGTATCAAAAAAGAACAAGGCAATTCTCATGGCCAATATCTATCCTTTGAGCAAATTACTGAAACAGATTGCATTGTCATTTATGGGATCCTGCTGTGCATAATTTTACTGCTGCCTTTCCTGCAAGAGTCAATCTATACCAACTTCTGCCATTTCTGAAGAAGGGTCTAGGCCCGAAACGTCAGCTTTCCTGCTCCTCTGATGCTGCTTGGCCTGCTGTGTTCATCCAGCTCTACACCTTGTTATCTCAACTTTTGTGAAGTGTTTTTGAACTGAGGCCGTAGAAAGTGCTGTACAAAATAGAAGTTCTCTCCTCTCTGTTCCCAATGCAGGTTTCTCACGTACACCTACCTGCTGACCTTCAACGCCTGGCTGCTGTTAGCACCAATAACCCTCTGCTATGACTGGCAAGTAGGCAGCATCCCATTGGTGGAGTCTTTGTGGGACACGAGGAATGTGGCAACTGTAGTGTTCGGTCTTGCCATGTTACTGTTGACGTGGAACTGCCTACTATCTGTACAGGTATGTTGAAAAGGCTTGAGAGTTTGGTTCACATTATTCTGAAGTTTATTTCACTGGGGGAATCTCCTGAAGAGAGTGACAGTTTTGCTTGAGGGGACTATATTTTCTGTCCCTATTATCCAATCATTTTCATTCACTTATTGACTATGCACATTATAGGCGACGGCTTAGTGATGTTATTGCTAGTCTATTAATCCAGAGACCCAGTCAAAATTCTGGGAACCTGGGCTCAAATCCTACCATGGTAGATAGTGGAATTTGCAATCAAAAAAAAAGAAATCTGGAATTAAGTGTCCACTGATGATCATGAAATCGCTGTCAAATGTTAGAAAAATCCATCTGTTTCACTAATGTCCTTTAGGGAAGGAAACTGTCATTCTTACCTGGTCTGGCCTACATGTGATTCTGGTCCCACAGCAGTGTGGTTGACTCTTAACTGCCTTCTGGGCAATTAGGGATGGGCAATAAATTCTGGCCTTGCCGGTGACACTTGCATCCTGCAAATGAATAAGGAAAACGCAAAGCCAGTATTTGTTGCTCATTTTGAAGTACGAGTGGGGAAGTGCTAGCATTGTATTAATGTCACTGGATTAGTAACCCAGAGATCCAGGCTACTTTTCGGGAGACGGGATTAAATTGCTTTTGTGGCAGATGGCGAAAATTTGAATTTACTGGAAATCTGGAATTAAAAGCTAGCCTAAAGTGACCATGTAATCACCATTGATCGAAAAACTTTTCTGTACCCTCTCTAGTTTTATTTTAAGTTCTTGCATGACTGGCAAGGTTGGCATTTGTACCCAACCCTAACTGCTCTCTTGGACATTGCAGAGGGCAGTTAAGAGTCAAATGCATTTCTACGGATCTGGAGTCACATGCAGGTAAGACTAAGTAAGGACTGCAGGTTTCCTTCCTTAATGGACATCAATGAGTCAGGTGGACTTTTATGAACAATAACAACAATGGTTAAATGATTTCCATTAGATTTTTTTTTATTGGATTCAAATTTCACCATCTGCCATGGAAGGACTTGAACCTATATTCCAAGATTGTGTATCAGGGTTTTGGATTTCTGGTCCTGCATTGATGTCCTTCTTAATGTGCAGTGTCCGGAATTAAGCACCGTGTTCCAGTTGGGCAGTCTTCGCAATAATCTCTTTGCTTTTACCTGCCATGCCTCTACTTTTTAATCCCTAAATCCTGCTAACAGCTAGTCAACTTTCTCTGCCACCTTCAATGCACAATTACTCTCCTCACTTAGCCCCCGGTCCTTCTGCTCCTGCACATTGTCGACTTCTAACTTATATATTGCCTCTCTTCAGTCTTCCTATTGAAATGTATTACTCCACACTTCTCTGCATGAAACTTTACCTGCCAACCTCCTGCCCATTCCACCAGGCTGCCTTTGTCAGTTTTCTTGAAATGTATTGCTTTTCTCCTCTCACATCGCAGTATATCCACATTTAATGACATTGGTGCATTTGAAATTGTGCCTTGCACACTCAAGATTCTGAATATAGGTAAAGAGAACCAATGGACCAAAGACTGACTCATTGGGAACCGCACTGTATTCCTTCCTCAGTCATGGAAACAACTATACCATCTGTTTCCTGTCACACAGCCAATGTCGGATCCATGCTGGCACTGTCTTTGGAATTCATGGGGCCTCTTCATTTGCTGATAAACCTGTTAGGTAGGATTCTTTATCAATCCCCTTTCGGGGATGTCCATGTAAGCCGCATCACTTTTACCATCCCTCGGTTTGCTCTTCTTAAATCAACCAGTTTACCTAAACGACAATAGTAAATCCCCTGCTGGCTATCTTCAGTTAACCTACATATAGATCAAATAGGTCAGACCAGAAAACTCTATAGACTTCCTTCTCTTAGGAAGAAAAAATGAACCAGTTGGGATTTATGACCGTCTGCCAGATCATTGTCACTAATGCCAGTTTATTGCAGGATTTTTTTTAAACTGAGTTCAACTTCTGAAACAACTATCATAGAGCCGATGTTTGCATTCTCTAGGTTATTGGCCCGGGTGTCTCCGTTATTAGTCCAAAAGCATAACCACTGGTTTACCACAATCCTCAAGTGTCAGAACTTTGGCAAAGAATATAGATCTCACCAAGCTACTCGGCTATAGATAAAGCATTGTTTATAATTGTTGTTGACTGCTCTCTGAAATGCATTTTTTTTTTAAAGTTGCGCTTTATTGCACGAAAGGTTCAACTTCACTCGGGGAAAACAGATGAATTCCATTGCACTGAGTATGAACCTTTTAGATGCATTTAAGATCTCAGCTCATGTTCTGTGACTGCCTAATGTGCAATTACCATCCCTTATTCATTTGTTGCCTTGGGCAGAACAGAATTCAAGCATCTTGGACAGTTCTGCTGCTGCAGTTTAATTGTTAGTGGAAAATGTAATTGGAAAAGGACAAAGGAAATACGTTTTGGCTAGGAAATCGGAGAAGTAAAAGTAATTCAATCTCAAAAGAGGAAGGGAAATGTTTGTCCTCAAATATTTCCAGTGACGGTTTTCCGAATATGAATATAAAAGCAGTTAGTTGGGTCACAAAATCAACTTGAAAGTTTATGACCTAATGTCCTTAGTCTGTTGCTTTTTGTACTGTTTCTAGATGGATGTTTAAAGCGTTCATTGTTTGGAGTTACTTGTAATTTTTTTTGACACTGTGAATTTATCACAGTGATTTACGAATAATGCACGATACGGGGTTCTTTATTCTGACTTCCATTGCTTTCCGATCTCAGTAAACTTTGCTTCATCCCAGATGCCATAGCCATGTCCCTCACCAGGTTCTACTCATCCATTTCCTTGAGCACTGGTTGACCTACATTGGATTCTGCCCCATTGGTGGCTCTGTCTTCAACTGTTGACCCACGGGCTCAGGAGTTCGCTCCTAAAACCTCTCTAACTCACTTTCTGTCTACCATTTCAGGCCCCCCATAAAAACACACCAGTTTGGTTCATCATCCTGATCTCGCATCTTCTGGCTCCATGTCCATTTCATCTGAGCTTTATTTTTCTCTCCACGAAGTGTTTCAGATTGTTTTTTTCCTTCTGTGTTAAAGCTGCTGTACAAATGCAAATGCTTTATAACATTTGAAAGGATGATGTTAAGGTTGGTAGTGCCATTTGACTGTGTGCTGAGCTATTTTTAAAATAATTAGACTTTTTACACAATGTATTCTCTTCAACCCCCCTGACTGAAGTGGTTTGGCTCCTATTAAGTTGAATGGTAGGGCTCCTACCAGTGAGCCAGCCAGGGTAATTTGTTAATAAATCAAATCAAGCGACGTGGGGACAAACTTTTTCATCCAAAGAGTTTAATTTAATTTGATTTGATTTATTATTGTTAAATGCACCAAGATAGAGTGAAAAATATTGTTTTGTGTGCTACCCAGACAAATCATACCTTACATAAGTACATCAGGGAAATAGAAGGCAGAATATAATGTTATAGCTACAGAGGAGATGCAGAGAAAGATCAATTCTAATATATGAGATGTCCATTTGTAAATCTGATAACAGCAGGGAAGAAGCTGTTCTTGAATTTGTTGGGATGTGTTTCAGAGGCTGGTGGGACTCTGGAACTCACTGCCTGTAAGGGTGGTAGAGGCAGAAACCCTTATAACATGGAAGGAGTATTTAGATGCACAGATGAGATGCCAAAGCAAACAAGGCCAAGTACTGGGAAGGAAGCATGATCCAGGGGTTAGCGCGGCTGCCTCACAGTGCCAGGGATCCAGGTTCGATTCCAGCCTCGGGTGACTGTCTGTGTGGAGTTTGCACATTCTCCCTGTGTCTGCGTGGGTTTCCTTTGGGTGCTCCGGTTTCCTCCCACAGTCCAAAGGTGTGCGGATTGGGTGGATTTCCCATGCTAAATCGTCCCATAGTGTCCAGGAATGAGCAGGCTGGGTGGATTAGTTGTGGGAAATGCAGGGTTACAGGGTAGTGGGGGGATAGGCTGGGTGGATCCACTTCAGAGGGCCAGTGTGGACTTGATGGGCCGAATGGCCTGCTTCAACACTGTGGTGATTCTATGAGTAATGGTTTTTTCGCTTTATTTTGACCAGCATAGATGCAGTGGGCCAAAGGGTTTTTTATTCCTGTGCTGTTGGCCTCTAAAACAAGTTGCATGCAGCTAGCTCCTCCAAACAGCGACGAGCTAGATGACCTGGTAAACTGTTAGCATTGGTTTTGGTTGATGCCTAAAAACTGAGCCAGAAGACTGAGGGAAAACACCATTGTTTTTCTTCCAGTTAAACCAGATCTTATACATCCGCAGGAGCCAAAGCAAAGATACAACAGGGGACAGAAGGCTTGGTACAACTGCAAGACTCTAACTTGAAGGAAGAGACAAGGGCAGAAAGGTTTACGTGGATAATTCCAGCATTTTACACAGAGAACTGAAGGACAGATTGTGGTTGGTGACAGCAGGAAAGTGGGGATGAACTAGATAGTTAATTGGATTGTAGGTCGAAGGTTATAGAGATAGAACAGGCTAAGATTCAAAGATAGTAGGAACTGCAGATGCTGGAGAATCCGAGACAACAAGGTGCAGAGCTGGATGAACACAGCAGGCCAAGCAGCATCATGGGAGCAGAAAGGCTGACGTTTTGGGCCTAGACCCTTCATCAGAAAATGAAGGGTCTAGGCCCGAAACGTCAGGCTAAGATTCAAAACCTGTTCTGTGGAAATGTCAGCTACACCCTGCCTTTACCAAAAGAAGCACAACGGTGTTATTGTATAGCAGTCATGACTGTTAACACTGAATCTGTGTTAGAATACATGGCATGCTGGAATGCAGCAACTATTTTAACGGCTTGTCTGCTGTCTTCTTCGCTGTCAGCGTCTGCAGCAAACGGGGACAGAGTCTGCCATGCCAGGCGGTGTTTATTACAGAGTTCACTATCAATTTGCACACTATCGTCTTGTGAGATGGAAGACTGCCACCATAGCTGGAACAGCAGAGTGCAT